ATTGAAGTCAAATTCTAAAGCCAATTTTTATAACTTTGGGGTGTAATTTGTTAAAAACTATATATGTCAATTTAGAAGTTCAAATAACAAAAATAAAGTTTCGATATAAATCTTTTATTACAATTTATAAATCAATGATAATTTTGGGTTAAGCGATGAGGTTACTATTAGATGAAAGAGACCTGTTTATGAGGAAACGTTGTATATTTCTTACGTAATTCACAAACTCAATTACAATATATATATATATATAGGTAACATAGGTTCATACCATAACATTGAACTTAACCCGTACATAAACTTAATTTATTATATGTACCTTAAGAATAACATATAAATGAATTAACACTTGCAATGAATCTAAACATTCATGAATCCTCAAAATTCAAATTAATCTCAATACTCCCCTTTAATTTGAAACTTCTTCCTTATTTCAATAATCGTTCGTTATTTTTGAAGCCTTCGAACTTTAGAGGCTTTGTAAGACTACATACAATTTGAACTCTAGTCTTCACATATTTGAGCTTTATTTCATTGTTTGGAAATGCATTTTCTAATGAAATAGTACTTTGTGTCTATGTTTTTGCTTCGATAATGAAAAATAGGATTTTTGGCTATTGTTTTTGCAGACTTGTTGTCAATACATATCTCAATAGCTTTTCTTAAGCCATGTGAAGTTCCTCAACAAATTTCTAAGATAAATAGTATGAAAAGTGCAGGAAGTTAGATCCATATATTCAGATTCATAAGTCGAAAGTGTGACAATGGATTGTTTCTTTGAAGCCCATATAATAACAACATTACCATGAACAACAAAAAATACGACAATACTCTATTATTAATATCTCCAGTTAAATCACTATTATAGGATCCAACTAGCTTGTATTTCTTAAAATATGAATAAAATAACTCGAAATCCAACAAACTTTTTAGGTAGGTAAAGAATTTTTTTATACCAACTTTTATATGAGTAGTTGTAGGAACTTCTATAAAATGACTCACCACTCTGACTACAAATAAAATATCAGGCCTCATTCATGTCAAATATCTCAAGCTTCCCACTAGGCTTTTGAATATAGTTGGACATTACTTCTTTCCTTCATCAAGCTTTGATAATTCTAATTCGCACTCCATGGGTGTGTTCCCTCCATCGCACTTAAGTATTTTGAACTCTTTAAGACTTTTTTTGCATAGTCTTTTTGTGAGACATGAACCATACATTTGTCATCTCAAACTCGGTCACCATAGCTTTCTTGAACTTTTTGAACAAACTAGGATTGCTACTAATAAAATAAGATAATTTACATAGAGGCAAACGAATAAAATATCCCCACTATCATAAGACTTAACATAAAGAGCATACTCATGATTATAACAACTAAACCCATTATTTTGAAAATATTTGTCAAAGCGATTATTCCCTGCTCTTGGTGCTTGTTTTAGTCAATATAGTGTATTTTTTCAATCTTAAGACTTTATCTCCATGTTCCTTAGCCAAAAAACCCATAGGCTATTCAATATAGAATTATTCTTCAAGATAGTCATTCAAGAAAGCTTACTTCACATCAAGTTGAAAAATTTTATCTCTTTTGAGTTACCAAATAAATAAACGAATGAATTGTCTCCATGCAAACAACAGGTGTAAAAACTTCTTTATAGTTTATTTCATGCCTTTGCTTATTACATTCAACAATAAATTTTTCTTTATACTTTTCCATATATGCGCTTATATTTTTCTTTGTCTTGTCACACATTTTACTCCAATAGTTTCATGGTTTTTGAGGAGTGTTGACAATCCCCAAGTATTATTCTTTCTGATAGCTTTGATTTCTTCTTCCATTATTTATCTCCGTTGTTTGTCTTTCATAGCTTCTCCAAAATTTAAAGGCTTACTGTCAATAAAAAACAAAATAAATTATTCACATCAAAGTTAATGATTTCATCGATTTCATCATAGATGTCATGAATACTTTTCATTTTCTGGTACATCTACTTGAACTTTCACCATGGATAGAGGGACTATGAGGGGTCTTGAATTGATGTAATGGTATCCTCATCTTCATATTCAAAGTAAAAAGAAAAAATCATGTCTTTTCAATTCGTTTATCCTAGTTCCTCCATGCTGCCCCTTCATCAAATTCAACACTTGACCCACCATAATTTTTTCAACATTCTTCTAGTCATATTAAGAATAGTTCTATTCTTTCTTTTAGTGACACCATTTTGGTGGAGAGATCTATGAACAATTAGAGAACGACGAATTCCATGCAATCACAAAATGCATGAAACTCATTAGATGCAAATTCACTTCCTCTATAAAACCTCAAGGATTTAATTATGTAGCCACTTTCATTTTTTATAAGAGCCTTTAACTTTTTAAATGATTTAAATGCCTTGATTTTGGCTTAAAAAATAAACCTAAGTCTTTTGGCTATAATCATCAATAAAGAACAATTAAGTATTTATTTTTACCAAATGATAATGGTGTCGTGGGTCCACACACGTTAGTATAAACAAGTTGAAGAGGCTCGGTTGGTCTTGATATGGCTATTTTTGAAAAACATTTTCTTGAATATTTGCCAAGTAGACATGCTTCACACAAATGATGTTCATGATTGATGAAAGGTATTCATTTCACCATGTGTTTGTCTCCTAAAATTGAGTGCTCCAAAATTCAAGTGTTCATACCTCATATGCCAACACCATGCTTCATCTTCAAGAAGTTTGCGTCAATTATTTTGAGATTTAGTAAAAAAAAAAAATAATGTTCTTTGACACGAATAACTTAGTAATCAAATTAACATATTAATCTCTAAACTAAAGACATTGATCTTTCATATGAATCTCATATCTTTTTTCAAGTAGTTGTCTTAAATTCAAAACATTGTTTAATTTAGCTATATAGTACAGATCAGTAATAAGTTTATGACATTCATTCATTACTTAAAGAGATTAAAATAACACATTTTTTTTTGAAAATTTGAATATTTGAGGAATCTTCGAAAGAAACATTTGCATGCACCTTTTTCATCAAGCTTTATGAACTTATCTTTGTCTCCACACATGTGATTGTATAGACCATTGTCCATTCACCACTTTTCTTGTCATCTTTGAGTGCCAACAACAAAGTGGGTTCTTCAAAATCTTTCATGTCATCAATAATGTTGACCTTCTCTTCAACATGATTGGGAGCACCATAATATTCCCATCAATAGTGCCCAAACTTGTGACAATTATTATAGTCAACATTTGACTTATCATATCTTCTCTTAATTTGGCCTAAAACTGTTACCTCTTCCTCTTCCTCTTCCTCCTCCATTGTTTCTATATTATTGAATAAAATAAGATAAATGACTTTTTTTTTTTTTTTTTTTTATATTACATTTATACATATTATTTATTTTATAATATCTGTAGAATAGAAAGATTTACAATCTACTTAATACTTACTACTTGTAGACGTTTTTGGTAATTGTGAACTATATGAGAAAAGAATAGTTCATAAAAATAAATAGAATTTACAATTTAAATTAAATGAAACTGAGTAATGCACATATATTTATATTTTTCAATTTATTATATTACCCAAGGTTATTATTATCCGATCATAACTGGATACATAATTGAATTTCACTATAATATCTTATAGTCAAATGATGCGTACTTAGTGGATCTTTGTAAAATCTGCATGCAATGCATGAAGGGAATCATCCAAAGAAATCTATATGGTCCCTAGCGAAAAAGAGGAAGTCTGGTCAGCAACAGCGAAATGGATCTGGGTATTGGGACGTTATAGGGAATAGAAGGCCAAACTTGGAGAATGAATGTACATACATATATATATATATATATATATATATGGGTAGGTAGCTTAACGTACTTAAAGAAAGCTCAATCCATTCCTCTTAGCAGCAAGGTAGAAGAGTTTTAGGATCCACCACCCACCTACCAACAATTACTTGCAATACAAGTTATGCGGATCCCTAACAAAGAACAAACCTAATTGTGGGTAGCGGATGATGATGCTCTTTGGCAATGGGTCACCCTACGGGGTACTACTAAAATTGTACCTCAATACGCAACAGCTCTACTAAATAAATACCTACCATGTAAACCTATCATCGAAGAAAATATACTGCAGGCGACGATGCAAATATATTATAGATATGTATATATGATATATCCATATACACGGCGATGCAAATTCCATTACATTGATACAAAATTGGTGGCGTACGAAGAGCCTTGCAAACCCATTTTAATCAAACCCCCTTCACATATTCCACCTATATAAATTGGGTAATGGAAATGCTCCTCCCAAAATCCAAATCCATCCGCTCCATGCAAATTCCCATCAAAACACACACAAACAAAAACTTATACATCCTCCAAATCATTCCATTTTTATTTTATTTTATTTTTTGCTCATCTCTAGACTTCTTTCTTTTTAATTTTTGATTTGATTCAAGAGAGTGGAGCCCTCTGAGGAGCACCCTTCCTTCTATTGCCGAGGGAAAGATTAACTATACCCGGCAGGAACCCACTGTTTTTCTTTTTCTTCTTCTTTATAATTTCTTCCTGTTGTGAAATTCCAGAATTACCCGTCGTCTCGCTGGAGCAAGAGCAAGATGATCCTCTGTACTGCAATGGATCCTCCAAGATGGAGTTGGGAGTAATTTGACAATCGTCTTCTGCGATCTCGGAACTGTCCACTCTCAATCCCTCAAATTGCGAGAATGCCAAGTCTGATTCATCAATCTTGTAGAGAATACCAGATAGATCCTCGCCTTGACATACCAAGTGATCAACCTGCATGAAAAAGAAAATTATCCTACACTCCTCAGCTAAAATAATTTGAAATATTTACAGCATGTGACTGGTTGATTTCAAGTTTGTATAAGATAAAATATGAATATCCCATTGAATGTACAAACATATGTTTATATTCTGTTATAAATATTAATTTTAAGTAGAGTACAGGAACCACTATTTTTTTAATAGCTAGTAAGATGGTTAAAAATAAGAGTGTAATTGAACAATTTCTATGTCTAATTAATTGGTTCTAAGTATTGGCAACTTCATTGGATTACAGCTACCAGCAATTTGCAATATCCCAGAAGATTAAACAAGAAAAGGACACAGTTGAAAACACACACAAGCATATTGAGAGAGAGAGAGAGAGAGAGAGAGAGAGAAAGAGAGAGAGAGAGTGAGTGAGATGAGACCAGCTGTGTATTTTATTAAATATTAATAAAGTCACATCCAAGTGAAATTAATATCTGAGTGAATTTGCAACTGGTAAAAGCAATTACCCACAAAGAGAAGTTTTCCCAGAATGGCAACTAGAAAATTGACCTAATTTGTGTAAAGGGTTTATGTACTAATTATATTGTAAGTGTGATGAGGAAGAAGCACTAAAAAAAACCCTAATAACACAAGTTACCAAAAGATCTCCACAGCCCCCAAAAGGAAAAAAATTTAAAAGAAAAGAAAAAAAGGAAAAGGAATCAATCAATCAATAAAGTAAGAAATTAGAAATGGACCTTGCAGGACAGAGAACAGAAGTTGAATGGCTCTTGCAGAATCCTGTCACAAGTGAAGCAGATATTTGCAGAGCCCTTGGACCTGGACTGTGGCCTCTGGTTCAAGAATATCACTTTGGCTCCATTAATTGTATAGGGCTGCCACACAACAAAACTTACTAATTTTTTTTACATATTATTGACAAAATTAATATCTTTTTCATATAAAAAGAAAAACCCATCAACAAGTTTTTCTATTAGAATTCCTAATTTTTTTTTTTTTTTTTACCTGAATATAGGAGCAGTCAATGAGCTTCTCAAGATCACCCAGTCGAATTACATCATGGTAAACATATCTTCTCACCTGCCATTGAATTCCAAGTCAAAATATCTGAACTGGGTTTTTGTTAAAACAAAAATTACTCCCATGATTCTATAAGTTCAAAAAAAAAAAAAAAAAAAGAAAGGGGATGAGAAATTAATTGTTTGTGGTAAAACAGTATGTGAGAGGAGTAGAGTAGTAATCAGCATTTAATTGTTTGTGGTAAATAGATAAAAACTCCTGTT